ATTCAAGACTTTTCAAAAAGTGTTTGCATTCTCATTGATTTTTTAATAATTTGTTCATAGTGTTGAACAAGATTCACGCTATAAAACATATTTCCTTTTCTTTCTTGCAAAGAAAATCATGTTTTTGAAATTTCAAAAAAAAGGCTTAGATTTGTAGCTGCTTATATTTCTTCATGTCCCGTGTTGGTTATTAGGCACCAAACATTATCAGCTCAACTGGCTTGCCACACCCGAAAACAAGCTGGCTATCATGTGTTCTATTCCTTGCGCACTTGTTTTTTTAGAATTATTCACTGTTGAACTGCAAGTGGGTCGGCCCAGTTGGGGTGGCTCCTTGTGTGAAGGAGCCGCTACCTATCGCCGTGAGTTTTGAAGCAAATCTTACCAGACATCATCTCTGAGGAGCAACCCATTTTTGTTCCATGATGCCTAGTTACTGATAATATAATACATGCTTATGAATGTTTGCACTTTATGAACAAGGAATAAGGCTAAAAAACATAGGACCCGTGTTTTGAAGCTAGATATGATGAAGGCCTACGATAGAGTATAGTGGGCATATTGGCCGTCTTGGAGAAGCTTGATTCTGCACTGGTAATGGGCATGGTAAGCTCGGTCACACTTTCAGTATGGCGAAAGACTTGAAAATTTTAAAGCTTCAAGAGATATCCATCAAGGAGATCCTCTTTCACTCTACCTCTTCTAGTTGGAGCAGAGGGCCTCTCGTGCCTCCTCGCGGTTAATAATTAGTCATCTCAGCTCAATGGGATTCAAGTGGCTCAGTCAGCACCCCCGATGAACCATTTTCTTTTTGCGGATGACAGCCCGCTGTTTTCTAAAGCGAGCAAAGTAGGGACGGGGGAAATATCACACCTTTTGGAAACTTGTTGTGATGGTTCAGGTCAGAGAACAAATAGGGATAAATCATTGGTTTTCTTTATCAAAGGTTGCCCTCAAAGTATTAGAGAGGAAGTCAAGCAAACTTTGAATTTCCGGAATGAGAGTCTTACTGAAAATTACTTGGGCATGCCTTCTGAAGTGGGAAGATAAAAAAATGGCATCTTCAAAATTTTGAAGGACAGGAATTGGAATAAAACATGGATTGTTGGAAAACTTACTTTTAGTGAAGGGAAAGAGGTGCTCATCAAATACGTGGTACAAGCTATACCTGTATATTCTATGGGATGTTTTAAGTTACCTAGGGGGTCGTGTTAACATTTGGATTCCATGATCAGTAAGTTTTAGTAGGGAAGCAAACATGGCAAAAGGAAAGTGGCATGGGTTGCTGGGATGTTATGACCAGACCCAAAGCCATGGGAGGACTAGGGTTCAGAGTCCTGGAGTTTTTCAATCTCTCTCATCTCGTTCGACAATCTTTGAGAATTATCCAGGATCATAGTTCTTTGAGTGCACGTATTTTGAAAGCATTTTATTTCGCAAATTCCTCTTTACTGGAAGCACTATTGGGGTCCCATCCATCACAGATTTGGAGGTCGATTGTAGAAGGACGAGGTGTGTTGGTTCAAGGCTTAATTAGGAGAATTGGCGATGGGTGGACGACTGAAATTCGTGGTCATACCTGGCACCCGAGAGAGGGGACAATGAGACCCATCATCGCCGCTCCCACTAGTAATCTATTTTGGGTTAGTGACCTTATTGAAATTCGTGCAACCTTTTTGGCTATGGATGTGTCGATTATATTGAGCATTCCCCTCTGTACTAGGAACATACCGAATTTTTGGTCTTGGGCATTCGAGAAAAAGAAGTTTTTTTTCTATGTGATCAACATACCACATGATGGCAAAACACCAGACTGGATCGTGAGGGCTTATTTGTTTCTACGTGATTCATGATTGGACGAAACTATGGGGAATTCAGGTCCCATAAAAAATGTTCATCTTCCTGGTGGACATTATCCCATCACTCCATTCCAAGTGTTGACGTACTTGACCAGAGGAATATGGTAGATGACCCTAATTGTGTTCTCTATGGGTGACCGGATTCCTGGTGGCATATATTCTGATGGAGTGTTGAATGGCTAGGTGTGCTTGGGCTCTTGCTAATCTCGAGCTAGTAGAACAAATGATCATGACTACATAGGTTCATGCAAAATAATGGCTATTTCTCTATGCACGGCTCTTTATCGCATGCCGAATTTATTAAGATGGTTGTTACTTTATGGTCCATTTGGTTTGCACGGAGGAAAGCGATATACGATCACAAATTTCATCACCACTGGCAAACCACATGTTCGCAAAGCCCTTTATTGCAGAGCTCAATACACTTGAAAGAAGCATGTTACCGACAACACATTTTGTGGCACCCACCACACAGAATCAAGCATGGGTTTCTTTGCTCCTGGGAGTGGCCAAACTAAATGTAGACGGTGCAGAGGTGTGACGAGCCAGCAGGGGAGCACCGGGAGTCGTTTGTAGGGATGTCAATGGTCATCATCTGGGGTCTTTGACAATTACTTTTGCCGGAATGATCGAACCTACTATCTTAGATGCTCTTGCGTGCCGCGAAGCCCTGGCTTTGGCGAAGGATCTCCTCCTCACCAATATTATCATCTCGTCTGACTGTCAAGTAGAGGTGAAAGATATAGAAGGCAACACAGGGGGCCAGCATGCGGGGATCATTAAGGAGTTACACACAAGTGCGTTGAATCATACAAGTTCATCTTTGAAGGCCGAAGCAGTAATATTGAAGCTGATAGAATTTATTACCTTTTGTTATGCTTACTCAGCCACATGATATTGTAGCTAGGGTCTTACTAGAACTCAGTTGACTGAGACTTAACGAAGTCTCATTCGAGTGACGTCAGCTTAGTTGTGGTGCTGCAAGCGGCATGGATGGATGCTGCAAACGGCGATGATAAATGTTGCAACGGTACTGCAAGCAACGACAACATATGCTACAACCGCTCCGATTGAAAATGCTACAACCGTCAAAGGAGGATATTGCAACCGGTGAGATGACGTGCTACAATCTACGAGGTACGATAGCGTCGACAGGCCGAAAACCTCCGGCGCCCCACCACGGGCCACAGCGTCCACGGGCCGAAAACCGTGGAGCCGGGCTGGCCACGCTGCACACTGCACCGCACGGCACGAGGACGGCGACGGGTACGTCGACTGATTAATCTTCCGGCGAGCGCGCCATGATTTGATTGACAGTGCCAGCATATTCAGATGTTTGTCCGGAGATCGATCGACGAAAAAATGCGACGAGCAGGCGAGAAGATGGCCAGCCGAGGTACGATCATTTGCCGTTGCCGAGCTCCGTTTGCGACCAATCTGAAAGTATGTGCCAAAGTGAACAACTGAACATGACCGTCCCTCCTCCTCGTCATCTCACGCATGCAACCATCTCTCTCTTGTCGGCTCTAAATTAAGTTTGTATCTATGTGTTTTTGTAGCCGTCAGGCGTTGGCAAGTTTCAACAAAGCTCCATGGGGACTTGGGAAGTTGGGATCATTTTTCTTTACTGAGTGGATTGGGACTTGATCTTGACATGTTGGTTGGGACGTTGGGCATAGGTCATGCCGACCTGGCCACTCAAGATGGGAACAGTTTGTATTTTGTGGGGATCTAACCAAGACGCCATCGCTGTCCTTAATGCAATCAATTCCCGTGTTACAAAGTGCGTGGTCAAATCAAAGGGAAAACAAAACGGCCTCTTGTCTTCAAACCCATCGGTCACTGTTTCTGCTACACCACTTACCACTAGTCTTCCAGAACTCCTGATGGCTTGTTCAGAGAAAAGAGAAAAAACAACTCCTGATGCGTTCAGAAAAACCAAAATGATTCAGGAGGAGTTGGGAACTTGGGGGATACAAATCGTTCAAAGATCATGCGTGACCATAAAGCCCGTTCAATTCAAGTGCTGCACGACACAAAGTCGACCTTTTTCAGGTTTTTTCTCGGGCATTATTACTAGTTCTATATATATTAATGCTGCTATCCTCTTATCTTATACAAATCCACTACGACCGCCGGCTGCCCGCCTACGGGGGGAGACAGTGCGCCCACGAAACGCGCTAAAGCAACGCTACCATAGCCGTCCCACCATTGATTTTCTCCCGCGAAGCGCAAAGCCGAGCACCATTTGCTCACGTACGGGCCAATACAATAAGATCAGTGGTACTACTAACACCGATCTAGCCGGCCAGGACGATGATGATGCATCCGGTGCAGAGGACATGTTTTTTGGAACGGAGACGCTAGAAACGTCCGGCTTTAAATTAATAATAAAGCCCTCAGGCATCAGGTTTAAACGGGATACAACTGAAAACAAAACAATAAACGTTCGGTCCACGACCGGCATCCAAAACGCTGCAAAGGTTCAAAACGTGCAGAGGACATGTTCCCTCGATGGCTCGATCGATCTTCGTCTCGCTCGCACGCGCCGGCTCTGCGGCGCCTGTCTGCCTTTATATATAAACCCACATGCGGCCGGGCACATCGCGTGGAGGAAGAGGAGGAGGAAGCGTGCATGTGGTGCGCAGCGGAGCAAGGTGACAAGGGAGCGCACTGTTGCATGATCCCTACAACAAAGGCCAGCAAGGGCTCAGCTCGTGTCGCCACAGATCTGGCCGCCTGGCGAGAGCTAATCATTGCACCATAAATTTCCCATCTACACACAAGCGTTATGTACAGGCCGGCCATGGGCGGGCAGGCAGAGCCGGATGGTGGTGGAGGAAAAAACAAAGCTTGGAAGAACAAGAAGAAGTGAGGTGATGGGGGGATCTAGCTAGTGGTAGTGGACAGCTGCTAGCTAGAGATCGAGAGCGGGTCACTTATGAAAGGAGGGGAAAAAGAAGTGAAATTACAGAATTGTTTGCTCTTCAACACATGCACACACATGGACATGGACACTGGCCATGTAGAGTAGCTAGCTAGCACGCAGGCAATCGGGCCACCCAAAACGACTGACGAGCACGATGAGAGAAGACCGGTGAACATGGCGCGAGCGATGGCGAGGAAGAAGGAGGTTTCCGATCATGTCGCCGTCGTCCCCATCGGCCGGTCACCTCTCATAGCTCCTGCAATGGGTCAAACCATCTGTAATGAGACATCCTATCACTTCATCCAACAGCTCTTAATTAATTAATTGCGTACTAGTGGTACTATGCTGTACTACGTGGCTAACGAGGACTGGAAAGATGACCAGCGAGTGGACGGACCTGCTTGGGCGCGGCCATGTCGGTGGCTATCTTGGCGTCGGCGTCGACGGCGACGACCTTGTCGCTCTTCTTGGCGGCCGCGGCATTACTGGCGACGCCGCCGCCGACGCAGAGCGACTTCCGGAGGCCGAGCATCTCCCTCCACCGGCTGGACCCCTTGGGCGTCGTGGACGCCCTCTCCTCGTCGGCGGCGCCACCACGGAGCTCGTCGCGGAGCGTGGAGGGCGGGCGGCCGCCCTCGACCTTGAAGGGGAGGATCCGGCCCTTGGAGAAGAGCTGGTCGGCGGCCATCATGGGGTGGCTGCCCACGGAGAACTCGAAGTTCTGGTCCTCCTCCTGGCACCGCAGGCCCATGGCCCGGTTCTGCACCGGCGGCGGCGGCTCCATGGAGAAGTCGCTGGAGAAGGAGATGCGCGGGCCCGGCTGCCCGCCGCCGAACGCCACCGCGCCGCCGTCCGGGTTGTACATGTTAACGCATGCCATAGCTGGATCGTCGTGGGCTGGCTTCGCTGCTGTGTGGCGAGAGAGGCTTGTAAAAGGTGGTGATGGTGGTGGTGGCGTCTGGTCTTGGCGTGTGAGCTGAAGAAACGGGGCACTGTTACGGGTGACTGACTGGGTGTGGAGGTGATGGTGGATTTGGATGGGTTATATAGAAAGGAGAGGAGAGGAGAGGAAGGGGAGCTGCTTTGTGGTGGAGCTTTGGGTAGATGGATGTGCGCTGCAATTGTTTGGCACCGCCTGTAGTGAACGGTGATGATTGAGATGCATGGCGAGCTGCTTTCTCCACCGGTGAACAATGGATCAGCGCCATAGGTGAAAACGAAATACAGCAGTGGTAGTTTTTCCTAGATTTTTTTGGGGGAAGTACGTATACCGAGTGCAACAATGTCGGCATTTCAGTAAAAATAATGTCGGCATGGCCAATACGTAGCGGGCATGCGGGCTTACTCGAACCATATGAAACGTAAGGGTTGGTCATGGCTTTTCGTGGTTATGCTTTGAGTCACTACATTGAACTTGACTCTCGAGTCACGGCAGCATCTGAAACTTGAAATCCTGGCGCCACAGCATGACTGACTGCATGCCACTGTACAACTGTTCAAACTTTTTCACTGAGAGCACGGGATCGTTCCGGAACGAACTGTTGTTTTGTGTTTGTTTTTCCATGCCAGCTCCAGGCCCAGGATAAGAAGGCCGTTTGTTGATATGCTATGCGATCTTGGGACGATAGATCGCAAGTCCCAATGCTGATCGGAGGGCATGGACGCGTGCGTGCGGCGCTCATGGCGGGAGAAGAATCTCTCGAGTCAGGAGCGTCGGTGTGCCAGCGCCCAGCAGCGATTCTTCCTTGTTTGGAAGCGTGCTACTAGTTGCTTGGACGTGTGGCGACTGGCGAATGCCGGTCCTCGGCCTCGCCGCGGTCAAACAATGGCTGTCCAGCTTGTGATTGGCACGGTGGTTGGATAGAGTGAACTCTGGCATGCCGCAACCGCACTTGATTCCCGGCCCTTTTACCACCGGGGAAGCAAGCGCACGTGCAGTGCATGACCCAGATGCGGCAAGGTCTGGCTGCCGCACCGACCAACGCCACTTGGGCTCACCTCACAGCTTGACACGTAGTAAACCTTTTCGAATTATTTCCAGATCAGATTCATCGGAACTACTACTAGACGTCTGTCGTGACGTGAAAGATGGTGTTTTTACTGCAACCAAATGACTGAGCGGGCATAATCTTAGTTACAAACTTTAAAGGTAGTATACGTCTGAGGGGAAATCGACGTTTTGTCTGCGATTATCATATAACAGTAGTGTCATCGAGCAACATGGAATGATTGAGACCAGGGGCATGATCATTTCTTCGAATGAGCCAAGGGGCATGATTATAGTGGGGTTTGCGAGGAGTATGGTGCAAGGATACCAACCTCTCGTGCGCCCCCCAAGTGTAGAGTAGAACAAACAAATTAGACCCATCCATAATTGCAGGGGGAATTAGCGAGGCGCAGACAACAGTCCTTTTCCTCATTGAACACATGATGATCCACCACACGGCATAGGGCCATACTGGCCTGCCAACTGTTGGAGATCATGCGAGACAAGAGAATCGTCATGCGAGACAAGAGAATCGTAAGGCTTTGTTCATGAGCCGCATATACCAAGGAACAAGAAAATCCGTACGGTCTTGAGTCCGACGGCCTACGGTGTGGTGCGGAGGCGGGGGCGTAGGTTCGGTGGTAGCTTTCTTCCCCGTGGATTCAGGACCAGCGGCCCCTGCGAAGACCGCGTATAGGACCTCAAGAACAAGACCAGATGAGCCCAGAAAGTGATCTCCATAACAAATGAACAGATATGTGCTGTTCAGGAGGAAAGCAACGTCAATGGTAAGATCTCCAGGTGCCAGGGTAAGCCCTGTTCAAGGCATAACGGAGTAGGAATGCCCAAGCAAAGAATCAGATAAGCTAGCAATCTTACAGAGTCTACTTGGCTACATATCATCAGAGTTAAAATCCAGTTAAAATGTTAGAAATCAAAGTCTAACACACCCAAAGGGGGCTGCAATTATAATTTTAATTTCTCCGAAATTTGAACTGCCAATCCTAGCTGTGACATTTCTATGAATTGAAACTTCTCATTATCTACAAAAAGGATGAACTGGAACATCTATAGCCTGGCAGATATTGTTAAGTGCACATGCACATGCCGCATTAACAAAAGAAAATGCTAGCGGGCTTAAACATGTCCGGGATTGGGATCGGTTGGGCACCAGCAGGAGGGAGGGAGAAGGTAGATAACAAGATCATTTGACCGATACTTGACCGGTTTGTTATTTAGCCGGAGTGAGGTGGCGACATGGACCTCTCAGAATAGGAGGACCATGTGATCCCAAAGGATCCTCTCCCTCCCCGCAGTGGTTCCATCTCCATGACCAATCATAATACGGGTCCTCCGTCCTGTGCCTCCTACAGGTCACCTCACAGCGGACCGGTCAAGGAGTGTTCTTGTTCCTTAGTAATGCCTGTCCTATTTCTATTAAGTCACAACTATAGTGTCCTAGCGGAAACAGGACCATTTTAAATACCCGTCTAGTCTCAGGTCACCTCACAGTACCATGTTAATGGATTATGGATGGAGAGTAACATGCTTGAATGGTAAAATTACCAGCAACAAGATACTCCACATTCAGATCATGAAAAGCTGACGTTTTGGACAGGTCTCCGACACATAACATGGAGCATTAACTTCTATTTACAAATATATCAATAAATTGAAACAAAGGTTGATATTATGCCAGTACTTTTCAAGGCAAATCTGCATATATGATCTCCAAGTATCAAGGCTAGATATTCAAAAAGATATCTGTAGTCAAAGTTTCAAAAGTTTTAGTAGGCTCATGTCTAAAGGGACATTTTATTATGAACTGGACGTAATACCCGTCTAGTCTCAGGTCACCTCACAGTACCATATTATTAACTCTCGCATATAAGAAAGGATAGCAGATTAAGCCTCGGTTAGGTTACTTGTGTTGTCGGATGATGTGCCTTTTCCAGTGCACCCAGCCTTGAATACAGAATAAAGTTTCGAAGCACCCATCTAATCATGTTATCCTCACTCCCCCCTTAGCAGCCAGGGAAAGATATAAAACATGACATGCCAGGGAAGAGAAACTTTTATAACACATTTCAAAATGACCCTTAAGTATGTCATCAAATTTAACACTTGTCCCCACTACTATCAGATAGATGGGTTGAATTAGGATCTTCATATTGGTATGATGCAGTAATATCAAGGACAACAGAACTAGGGTTTTATGCTGGAAATACTGGACCAACTAATCTAAATCAACAGTTTGAGGTGAGGTCTAATTTCCACAGCAATATCATTACATAAAAAAGGATCCGTATGAGTTCTCTAAGAACACGGAATCAAAAGTTCAAAATATGTGGATTTTTTGCAGATTATGCATTATAAATAGAATTACGTTTTAGCTACTGATGAGAGTTCACAACCATTATAGGAAAAGCAGATCATTCATGGGGAGAGAAGCATGTGCATTCTATTTTGTTAAGTTGCTTGAAAACCTAACCACATAATGGTCAAAGTTTTAGTATAAGCCAAGCTCTTAAGATCAAGAGAACCCATGTGAGCACATGAACAGCACCAATTATTTTCTTCTAGCAATGTGTTAACTTTTGTGACTGCACATGTGAGTGGTGGGAATGAAGACCAGCCTCATTGTGACTCAACTCACTACCTTTAGTCCTACAGATCTCAAGAAAAAAGGAAAGAACAGAAGATATTTCCTTATAGTTATAACTGAAGGTGAAGACCACCCACCCTTTTTCTCTGGCTACATATCTCATTGCATGTAGCAATTCTAATGTCAAAATACAACAAATCATATTAAGGATGTTCTGGGGAAAACATCCAGCTTATATTGCAGCGAAGTTCTATTTTGAGTAGATTGAAGAAATGTGAGCCCCTGTATAAGCAGGAATTTCCATTTTTCAGTTTACACTTGATCAATATGATACTAAAATAGCCGCTAGGCTGGATCTACGAGTACTTTGATTTGACTATGCTAAGGGGGTGACCACAACAGTGCAAATGCCAAGCCTTTAATACACTAACTTGAGAGTGTGGCTGTCACCCACATGGTAAGGCCTAAATAACAGAAAGCTGGAGGCGAAAGCAAACAACCCAGTGCCCGATTTGTTTGTCAGAATAACACACTCAAATTGCCCAGCTGGTCTCCTCTGCATACTGCAGATCTCACAAATTCATGAACTTTTATTACGGTAACGGCTACAACCTAAACATCTCTCAGATCCCGCGCGGGGGGTAGCGGAGGTGCTAAGCTCAGAAGCATTTAGTACAATAATAAACCCAAAACTATTTGAGAACTGCATGTATATCCAGGAGCTAACATTGATAGAAGTGCTGGCCTAAAAACAAATGTGAGACATATTATGGCCAGTTGTGGAAGCTGTACACAGACTAAGACAACAGTCAAAATAGCCAAAATATTATTTACCACAGCATCACATGAAGTGAAAAGTAGATCTATAGACAAGCTCAAGGATGCCATGAATTTACAGTAAACCAGCCTCACATTGTGCGATTGTAATGTATGAAAAACGAAAACAGAAGTGAACCTTTGATGCTAGTGTGTTACAATAATTAGATTTGTAGTGCAGCCCTTCGTCTTGGAATGATCTGCAGGTTATCAGCAACCATGTCAGTTTTTCTTACTCTGATGGAAAGACCAAGTGATGAATAATGTTCTGTCCACTTGAAAAGGCGGTTAGCTTCTAAAAGTTACAACCGTTTCAATTTTTGAATAAATATACTTGATATGCGTTTTACAAAGAGGGATG